GACCGCCGTGAGGGGAGGAGGAGGCTGTGAAGACCTGTCGAGCCCCGCAGGCACCATGGCTGGGATCATCAAGAAGCAGATCCTGAAGCACCTCTCCAGGTCAGCGAGCGGGCGAGCCGGGTCCCCTCCCTCCGCTGGCCGCCGGGGCTGGGCCACAGGTCCCGGCTCTCTCTCCCGTCGCTGGTGGCGCCCCCGACCGGCCTCAGGAGGCACGCGGAGGGTGGCGGGTGGCGGGGCTCAGCGGGCCGGGGTCTCCCCGAGTGACGTCCCTGGCGTCCCCCAGGTCCTGGGTGCCTGGGGTGGGCTGGCCCCGGGTGGGGCTCGGGAGCTCCCGGGGCTCGGAGGCGAGCGGTTCCGTTAACCGAGGACTGCTGGGGTGTGTGTGTCTGTGTGTGTATTTGTGGACTCTTTGGGCTGAGGCTGCCTTTCCCGGGAAACGTTAACCTTGCGATTGTTCTCGGCGTCCCCCCCGTTCTCCCTCCGCCTCCCGTTCCCCTACCTGGCGTTCCCGCTCGGATGCGCGGGAGGGTGTGCTTGTTTGCACAGTTGGGATTTGTTTTAGGTAAATAAGCAGAGTTCTCAGCTTTGGCAAGTTCTTGATGGAGTCGTTTCAGTTCCCGCAGCGTTCTGAAGAGTTTTCTGGTTTTGCTTCCGAGAGACCCCTTTAATTCAGGGAGTTGAACGTCTCTGGTGTTTGAACCTAGGACGTGTCATTCTTTCCATTTCATAACACAGTTTTAGTAAGGAACATGACTCAGTAAACTGGCAGTTTGTTACTGCTCTTGGGCTTCTCCATATTTGTCTCAAGACACAGGCTAAATGTAGGCTCCTGTTCCAACTTGGTGACAGGGAATTCAAGGCTCTTGGTTACGATCTCTTCCTGCCCTCTGTATTTCTCAGTTAATGAATACTTTTAACTAGTTAAAGGAGGGTACTCAGGTATAATGATAGACTTTTATACTAAACATAAGCCTTCATTCTCCCGATTTATTTATATTTCAGGTGATACATTGAGAACATTAACAAAAACCAAACTATGATTCAGCAGATGTTTCCCTGACATTAGGCTGGATAAAATTTAATACATATAGTATATATATGCATAAAGTATTGAACTATAGCAAAGTTTGTGACCATGTATTTGGTTCTTAATGTCACTAATTGGAAAGTGTGTGTGTGTGTATTTGAAACAGGTTATGTAGCTCAGGCTGTCCCATAACTCATGACAAATCCCCGGCTAACCTCAAGCTCAGCGTCATCCTGCCTTAACTTCCTGAGTATTTCCTGAGGTCTGTGCTCCCACGCCCTGTTGGATTTTTTTTTCATAGACAGTGCAATACTGAGCCGTCTTATTTTGGAAGAAAGTTTTATTTCTTTAAAATATTGTCTATTACTTAAGTAAGTCGGATTCATATGAAATACACTGTTCCCTTTCTTAGCCCTAGTTCTGTAAGAAAATTCAGATCCATGGACAATGATTCGATTGCCTATTTCTTTTCCAAGGATGATGGTATTGTACCACTGTGTGCCTAGAGGAAAATTTAATTCAATCGATAAGTGCCTTAGGGCATTTTATCCTTTAATTCTCTTGTACGAGTCCATTTGGGAAGAACTCTTAAGAGTAAGAGCAGAAGTATAATGGCTTACTTTATCCCATAGATAGAACCCACATACTTAGAGTTAAGTACTTAGAATTACCTAGAATCTTCGTGATTTCTTATGCCTGTGTGGTAAATAGTAACGAGCATTTCTTTTCAAATCAGAAAGTTCCCAGAACACTGGTGTTTTCTTTCTTCTTTGATGGAGAAATCATTTGCAGTTTTTTTTTAAAGATTGTTATTTTATTTTTACACTCACTTGCTGTGTGTGTCCAAGTGTGCACATATGTGCCTGATCCAGCCAATGTACAGAAGTCTGAGACAACTTGAAGAAGTTGGTTCTCATCTACCACCATGTGGGTTCTGGAGATGGTAATCAGTTTACCAAGCTGGCAGAGTGCCTGCGTATCATGCCAGAAGCACTGGATTCAATCCCCAATGTTTTATAAACTGGCTGTGTTTACAAATTCCTATAACTTCAGCACTTAGGAGGTGAAGGTTATCAATTCAAGGGCATCCTCAGAACCCAAGGTCATCCTTAGCATATACTGAGTTTGAGGCCAGCCTGGAATACTGAAATACATTGAGGGAGTGAGGTTGGTAGCTGTCCTGTCATAGAAAGGAAGAATTAGAAAAATGTACAAGTGCTTATAGGCTCTTTTGTAGGGATGCTTGCAGGAAGGAAGAAGTCTCTCTAGACCAGTGGTTCTCAACCTTCCTAACACTGCAACCCTTTAATACAGGTCCACATGGTGACCTCCAGCCATAAAGTTATTTTCATTGCTACTTCTTAACTGTAATTTTGCTGGTGTTATGAGGCGTAGTGTAAATATTCTGATATGCAGGATATCTGGTTTGCCACTCCTGCAAAAAATGTATTTGACCCCAAAGGTGTTGTGACCCACAGGTTGAGCACTTATGGTCTAGAAAGCTAGAATGCTTATTCTGAATGAACCTTCATATTTAAAGACTGAAACTAGCAATGGTGGAGACTGGGCAGTACTTTTGAAGCTGGCTTGTTGGAAAAGTGTGCACAAGGAGTTGTTTTATAAGAGGGTGATGCTACAGACTGGCTTGAGTACTTTTAAGTCTGTATCTCCATTTCTTGCCTAATATTTGTTTTCTGAGTGCCTCTTGCGTTAATGAAAAGTTTGTGTACTTGACTGATCTGAACTACGGGGAGTGTGATGAGAGAGAGGAAGAGGTTAAAAGTTCTGTGTCTTTAAGAGAAATGAAACAGGAAAAGCCTTTCAAGGAGAAATTACTGAGCTATTTTAAACCAGAACAGTGTATGTGTTGAAGGTAGTTACAGGGGAATCTTTTTTCTTTTTTCCCCCAGTAAGAAATTAGGAAGTTCTTTAAAAAGTCCAAACACACACAGGAAAGGAAGCTAGAGCAGGAACTGCCTTCCATTTTACCTTTAGACCTTTGGATTTGTTCCTCTGTGCCTCTCTGTGTCCAGATGTGTAGGTCTACAAGCAGGGACAAAAGATACACATTGAATTAATTAAGCTGGAACCTGAAAAGTGATAAGAAAACTCCAGGTACAAATGCTCCCTGTGTGCCCTTAGCCCCAGGACAGTATATTCTGCACGGGTTTGTCTGGAGATGGTTCTCCTGGCAAACTACACCTCGTCTAGGTGGAGCCTTTATCTTGTTTGAAGCAGTGATTATCTGTCACCGGCACTCTGTTCCTCAGGGAGACATTTGACAGTGTTTTTGATTATTATGACTTGAAAGGTGGTTCTATTGGCATCTGGTCGGTAGAGAAGCTAGACACTATCATGCCCAGCACAGGCCTCTAAAATTAAAAACTCATTGGGACCAATGTCAGCAGCTGAAAAGCAGAGAAACTGGTTTAGAACATGTAGCGGTGTATCAAATGATCGAGCTAGATAACTTGGCTAGCTAAGGTTATTTTGTCTGCAAACAACAGAAATGTGGCTATTTATGTAAAAAGGGAAATTTAGTTGAGGCTGCTGAGTGGGTCACAGATTCATCAGAAGATCTGACCACAAACCCTGAGACAGGCGGAAGTCAGTGAGGCTCCTTGATTCTCCCTGAGAGATGCCCTGGGCCTTTATCTTAGAGCAAGATCTGTCAGCTTCAGGTCTGAGACCAGACACTTCCACACAGTGTGGGTGTGGGTGTTTAATGTTTCTAGGAATTTCCAAAGGTTCCTGAGGGCTACAACTGTTCCTGGCTGAAATTTGCAGCCTTGGAGGACTGACCAGTTTCTTAGGACGCTTACTCTCTGATCTTTCCTGCTAAGTTTTAAATTCTTGGGAGAGAAAAATCTTTCTGGCCCAGTTCTAGCTATGACAAAGTATTGAACAGTTCTTAGTTATCTTTCTGTTTCTGTGAGGAGACTTTATGAACAAGGCATCTTATACAAGAAATCATTGAATTGGGGGCTCACATTTGCATAGGATGTGTTGATAACCGTCCCAGTGGGGAGCATGGCAGCAGGCACTCAGACACAACACTGGAGATCTGACTGAGCGCTTATATCCTTACCCATAAGTAGGAGGCAGAGAGGAAACTAGCTGGCAATAAATAACAAGGACTTTTGTTATTTATAAAGCCTACCCTCAGTGACTCACCCGTCCAATAAGACTGGCCACACTTCTTAATCCTTCCCAAATAGTTCCAAAACCGGAGGATCAAGCATTCAGATATATGAACCTGTAGGGGCCATTCTCATTCAAACCACCACTGACAGCAAAGATCTGGTTATGGAGAGAATTATTTGGAGTCAAGATTGCTACTCATTTTGATGTCAGTAATAGGCTTAACTGAATTAGATTTTCACGGGCTTCATTTGATATGTTAAGGAAATTGAACTTCCTACCTGGGGCTGGATGACTGCTAATAAGAAATTCTGGCTAATAGAGGTTGTAGTTAGTAAAAAAAAAAAGTGTTGCTTGTAGAGTCTTGGTCCAGGAACAGGATCTTAAGTAGAAATACAACATCCGTACACGGACTTGGGGTAACTTAGGTTGTACAGCGATGTATTGAAAGGATGCTAAAGTCCTTCAGAACCTAGTATCTGTCTGTTACTCTGTGTTTGCAGAACCAGGTTTGGAAAGGGTCCAGGTCAACTACAAGGATAAAAGGAGGGGAGCCCTCTATGTCTCGGTGTAGGATGTTTTGTTAGCTAAGGGGAAAGGGCACTTTCTGGGGTGACTACAGGCAGGGGACATGGCTTGTGAGTGAAGTGCCTGCTGCACAGCCACGAGGACCTGAGTTTGGATCCCAGCACCCAAATACAAACCTGAAGGGGCAACAAGTTTTGTAATCCCAGGGCTGGGAAGGTCGAGACAGGCAGCTCCTAGAGCTGAATTGGTGAGCTCCAGGTCCAGTGAGACCCTCTTTCTCAAAAGATAAAAAGGATAAGGTGGAGAGTGATTGAGGAAGACATCAGGTATCACCCTCTGACCTCCACATATGTGCACATATGTGTACTCTCATATAAATATGTAAACAAAGTTACTTTCTCTT